TAATCATTCTTATAATCATTCTTATAATCTCATAATCACGCTATAATCCTTATAATCTATACTCAAAAGTACACGGCTGAGGCCAGTTGCAGACCCCTCGGCCGTTCATAATCCCTGTTTACAGGAAACGATCCATATCATAGCAGTTCTCCGTTTAATTTGGTTCTTTTGAAGGTTTCTGTCATGCTGGTACTCATGGAACAAACCCGGGGCCAGTGTAGAGTTTGCTATCGGTCTGTTAATACACCGGCGAGCTTACCCGACAGTCCTCTGTCTCTTTCACTCCTATCTCACGGCAGATATGAGTAAGAGAGACAGAAGACTGTCGGGTAAGCTTGCCGGAGTATTAACCGGACCGATTGCAAACTCTAGGCCAGTGTGATGACCGGAACCAGGCGCATGCGCAAACTTTGATTGCTATAGGACCAATTGAATCCTCTCCACAAAATGCACGTAGCCTTATGGGAATGCGCCTTTTCAGGCTTCAGAACGCGCCGCCGCGCGGCACTTAAACTGCTCTGGACGGCAAACTACAAAAGGTACAAACTTCGGCGCGTGCTTATTCTCTTCGTAAAAGTACTGCCTACAACGTTTAGAGAGAGTACATTCGCATTAAACCTAGCAGGACAGCAGCTATAGCCAAAAAACGAAATTCGTACCTTTCTGAAAAAAGTAATCGTTTTCTTCCTTGGGGATTTCTTCAAAACTATTCACGTTATCCTAAATCTGAGACTTCCATCGTGTTCTGCACACCCAAATTAATCTGAAACCATCGTTCGGTCATACAAATCGAACCAATGGCTCCCGGTAGGCCGCTTTTGAACGGTTAACGCAGATTTCTAAATTTTAGGTTAAAATTGGCCATAGCGGGCGTTTGCAAGGTCGGATCAAAAGTCTAAGCAACCAACATTGCTCAGAATGGACCCTAGAACAACTGTACACAATTTGATAGATGAGTCATTGAGTGCAGTATTACCGTCAAAGTGTCTAATTCCGGACCAGCAGGGTAAATCCGGACACTGCTGGTTTGCACTTTTTACAGCAAATTACACAATGTAGGTTCATAATTTAGATAGATGCTTTCCCGGGAGGCTCTGGAGATTTAAATAATTAGTAGTTTCACATCTTAGAGCCGCCCAGTGAAGTGCAACTTGAATAATAGGACCCGACCAGTACATACACTGTGAAGCAGTATTTTAATGCGTGTGGCGCATAGCACCAATGCTAAGACACGGTCACTAGATACAGCTTTAACGTCACTACGCTGGAGTCGAAAATTTTTAATATCCTGCGGACTTTTGCGCGTAATATTGACTGTATGGTATTTCACTCGATCTCTCACTTACAAATCTTAGTTAAAAATGCATTAAATTTTCAATTTTGACAAAGTCCCGTGAGGTAAAGATTGTTGTACTCATTCTCAAGGCGTATTTTGCGAAAATAGGGCCCTTTACTAAAGTAGCACTGACTCTTGCAAAAGTTTCTAAACTTCTGAAATGGACCAATTTTGCCTCGAAAATTTCAATATCACTCTGGCTCCGCAGTTACGGGTTAAGTTGGTGTGTACTGGCACGCACCTGCAGTGCAGTATTGGCATATCGACCTGTTCTACTGCCATTTATTAGCATAAATAGGGACTGTCCGGAATTGCCCCGACTTCGGGTTTAAATCCGGACGGGGTTTCAGAGGCTTGTGCAGGTGAACTGACGGAAAGAAAATTTCCTCTCCAGACGGAAAATATGTATCTTGGCGCCTAGTTTCTAGAATCCACTGGAATTTTTCATACCCCTACCGGTGTTAGAAATACTAAGGAAAAACGGTCAAATTTGTCCCGAATATGACACTTTGACGGTAACCTCTTTTGGCTGCAGAAGTCACCAGACTATTACCTCTTTACAGCTCAACGCTCGCCAGCAGAGGAGGGAGTTGCGTGTGACACCAACCGGACCGCTCCACTGCGGAGCTGTATGCCAACTGCTGAGCACGGCAGTCCAGAGTTGTAGTGTGTGTTTGTGCGAGAGAGATAGTGAGTTAAGAGGTGAAGCCAAGGGTAAGGGGGGGGGAGGACGTTGCCACGCCACAACTGAAGAAGGTCTAGTCAAGGTCGACGGCTTGGGTCCGCCTGCCGTGCCCCGTGCCCACTGCCCACACAGTGCTCAATTCCTTGAAAAGAGAGCGAGTGGGACAGTCAACATTTTGAAAATCTATTTGAACGAACACATTTTTACCAAAATGTGAGAAGAATGCTTGTGAATCTTTCCGTCCAATTTGAAAAATATTCTGAAATTTAAGAGCATAATATCTTTTACATTTCATACCATTTACACTTGTCTTGAAACAGATTGACCAAGTGACGTTTTTTTTTTGGGGGGGGGGAAGTCTGTGAAAACACCACTCACTATACCACCAGAGGGGAGGGGGGCGTTTCCTGTGAAATTTCGTTTGTATAGGTCCCGTATACGATACATGTACAATCCGTACGTGTGCATACGGGTGCCGTATTGAATTTCTATGTGAACCTGACGTGTGCATACGGCTGCCGTATGTCCGCCTTACATGAATCGCCGTACGTTGCATACGGGTTTCATACGTTCATATACAAACCGTGCATTCCCCGTACGGTAGCATCAAATGACACATACGGAACACATAGGCTCCCTAACAAAATCCAAACGCAGTCCGTACAGCTCATACCAGTTGCATACGCGCACATACACACCGTACGGACTCCATAAAGCATCATGCTATCACTTATATTTGATTCCTACGCTTACCAATATAATCCTAGATTGATTTTATGACCTGCGATTGAATACTGCTCTGAATGCAATCCTGCCAAATAACTATTAAAACCTTTTTGACATTGTGTTCGTTAATAGTGAAAGGGATCCGAACAATTCACACATGTAAGTAACTCTGCACCTCTGTTGTAGAACACTGCTTTAGGGTTGATACGCTTTTCTTTGATTGACCAAAAATTGAATTAAGAGCGCATCGAGTGATCTTGAGTACGCAGGCGCATAATAGAAGGGCTCCATTTGTGTTGTTCTACTTGGGTGTAGATACGGTAATGGGTTTAAGGACCACCTACCTCTGTTATGACTCCGTTATAAGACTAAGGCCCAAACTTAGTATCCACGAGCACTAGGGTGTTTTATAAAAAATTGACATATGCTTGAGTGGACTTTATTCGCAAGTTCACGACTCGATCTGAATCTGTGCCAAATTTCAGCGCGGATGGTTCCCCTCATCGGACAGGTCTCAAATTTGGCACAGATTTGGATCGAGGCCTAAACTTTCCAATAAAGCCCATTCAAATGTAATTTTTTTTTCAAACACCCTAACGAGCACTGTCGAGGGAGTAATTGTAGGGAAACTAGAATTAATGATTAACTTAAGGAAAATATAGGTAAGCTACTTGCTTGGGCTCTCGGGCAATGACTAGGCAACACGTCAGCTCGATACGCATCGTATGTGGGACACATACGGACAACGTACGGACGGGAGGGGGAACCGCGCTGTACATGACACCGGGCTACGACGCTCTCGTTCCTAGCGTGTCACCATAGCTCAATGGTAGAGTCACGGGTTCCGAAGCCGAAGGTCAGAGGTTCAACTCCCAACGGTAGCAGTCCACTTTCATCAGTCAAATGAGTAGGAAATAGGTAAATAAAACACGTGGGAGGGTTCAACCGAAAATCGAAACAAGAATGACTGCGTCAAAGGTCAAAATTTTTTCCAGATTTTCTTTTTGAAATATGTAGGGCACACATACGGACGGCATTTGCTTCACTACGTACAAACTTCGTCCGATTCACAAACAAATCACATACAATTATGATTCGTGCATGATGCACACGTCTGGTATACGTCAGCCGTATACGTCACTGTATTCGGGACATATGGGTATATTCCACCAAAACGGCACGGGTCGGTGTCCGCGAAAAAGTTTCGCGTTTATCTCAATTATATTGTTTGTCAAGCTTCGCCGAGGTGGTTTTCGCGCTTCAGATGATTACTTATGCTCTGTTTTAACTATTTTAATTCACAACAGCTACGGTGCATTAGTATTTCATCAATAATAAACTATAATCTCACTTTTGTCCCCTTTGTCACACCCTAACCTAATTTCAGTGTTTTCTTCAATACCAAATGATGCCAAGGGTACTTCACTGTTCGAGATGTTTACTTTTATGTCATTTTCAATATTTCAATCAACAACAGCCACTCACTATTAGTATTTTGGCCAAAAAATGTCTCAAATACTCCCCTTTGTCACGCCAAACTCCCAGGACAGCGTGACAAAGGGGACAATATTTAACATTTTTGGCCGAAATACTTATGGTAAAGGGGGACAACGTGAGATTCTAGTTAATTATTGATGAAATACAAATGCTCCGTGGCTGTTGTTGGCTGAGCGATTAGCGAAGCCTATTACTCCAGTGATGATCAAAAAGTTTCGCGTCTGTCTGTCTGTCTGTCTGTCTGTACGCACGAAAACTCGAAAACGGTTTGAGCTAGGACACTCTAATTTTTATTGTAGCTTTGTATCATAAAAAGGAAGAACTGTATTGATTTTGAGCCCTCTGGCTCAAAAATTAACGTGTCAAAAAAATCATAAACAAAAAGCCCAAAACATTTCTTTAAGAAAATATTTATTTTTACATCTTTCTTAGAGGTAACTCGTCAAAGTAGAGCCCTTTGGGTCGAAATTTTGCCCGTTTGGCTCTATCTCTAACCGTTTGGGCGCCACAGGCCGTTTTTCACTCGGAAATGACCCCAAAACATTTTAATGTTAACTCTCAGATATTTGATGGTGTCCGGTGGAGTAACTAATCAAACTGAAACCTCGAGGAACAAAATTAGTGACTTTTGGGGCCGAAGGCC